AAAAAAAAAAAAAAAAAAAAAGGGGAAGGGGTGAAGGGGGGGGGGGGGGGATGTATATATGGAAGTATAATTTTCTGTTCTGGAAAGATCTAATAATCTTCTAATAGATTTTCAGCCCTAATAAGAACATTCAAGCGGATGTCATGATTATTAAGAAAGAAGTGCTTCCTGAATATTAATTGCTCTTAATTCACTTTTCTTTTCCATCTCTCCTGGCATTTCCATCTCTCTGTGTCTATCCTAATTCTAGTAGAAACATGCCCCCTAACTTTGAAAGCATAAGTCACATAAAGTAAATACTTGGAATAGAACTACAATAAACCCTTGACTTAACAGACTAATGGGGACAGAAGTGTCTGCTACATTTGAATGTTCATCAAATGATGAAAGGGATTTTATGCATGTGTTACACCATTATACACACACATAAAATGTTGTTTAGTTACAGCTAATGTCAAATGGAATTTAATGCATGTATAACATGGCATTACACACACTTAAAATGCTGAACAGATCTTGTTGCATCTGAAATCTAGTAAACTAAGATCTGATAAATTGAGCTTTTAGTGTAATTTAGGCTTGCCTAAAACATAGTGTGTTCTCCCATTCTTAATTGATCAGCACTCTTTTAAGTTCAGAAGCAGTCTGTGATATTGATTGATTGGCTATGTGCCATCAAGTCCTTTTTGACTCCTAGCGACCAAATAGATTTCCTCCGTGACTGTGATATTACATGTGTATATTTGGACATTGTTCAAATCTCCATTGGACATTTGAAACAAATTGTGCTGTTCTTTGGATTCCAGCTTGACTACTTTTGATGCAGTATTTGACTTCTTCTCCTTCCCCAACCTCTGCAAGATTCTTGTAGTCTTCCTTTGTGTTTTCTTGATATTTTATCAAATTTTAACTCTCTCTCTGTCTCTAATACTGATAGCTGCTTTATTTTGGTGAGAAAAGTGGGTATAAATTGAACACAATAATAGTAATTGCCCTCACACTTTAGTGAAGCTGAGTTCTCTAAAGGTATGTGATTTAGGTATTTCTTGCTTCATTATGGCATGTTTGGACTTTTTTTTTTTTTTGCTTTCTTCAGGTGAGATAAGCCAGGAGTTCAGTCCAACCTATTCAGAGAGGCCTTTTATTGCTGACACAAAACGATATGGGTAAGTTCTCCTTGGTAAAACACAAAGCAGCAAGCCCCTCCTCCGCTCCTCACCCCCAATTCTCTTGCATAAAAGGAGGGGAATCCCATGAATCTTAATGTTGGAAGGAGTATTCTATCAACAGTGTCCACACTGGGGTGCCAGGGGGGCATCAAAATAGGCAAGATGGTGGTCACAGCAGCATGATTGCAGCTGTACCTTTTTGCAGGTCAATCACATTTCTATGACTGCCATCTTGCTTGCTTTGATTCACACCCCTCACCCTGCAAAGGCCATTGTATTCTACTCTAGTTTCACTTTTTATCCTAGATTATGGTATCCATACAGTTGTGCTAGAATTACCACATTTCATACATTTAGAGTGTTCTGCACTACATGACAAAAATATTTATTTAAAATGGTAACTTTAAAAATGTTCTTTGAAGATTGTCAGGACTTTGGTAAAAACTAGAATATTGGCAAGTATGTATTCCTGGTAAGACACTTTGTCTACCATGGCAGAACTGGGATAATCTGCAGGGAACTTTTAAGGTATTGGTTCCTATGGGATAACTACCAAAAGTCTTGCAGATATTCAGCATAACTGGAGAGCCCAGTCTAAATTTTGGAAGCAACATTCAGGCAAATTGGTTCTCTGATTGTGGAAAGTTCAGAATGGCTGTTTTAAAAGAAGGGAAAGGTGGGGAAGGAATCCATATTACGTGTGAAAGGGAGTCATTGCTTGATTCCTCCTTGGGTTTGGTATTTTGAAAAAAGAGTAAAATATTTATGATTGTACTTTTAATGATACGTTTTTGATTGTGACATGAAGCAATCATACCAAGAGAGTGAAATGTTTCTTGGACCAAAAAAAACCCCCATTGTGTTCTGTTTCTTGTTATTCACAGCCATTTTCTTTTCTCTTATGTCTAACTCTGCCTCTTGCCCTCACCACCCCAAAATATCAATCACTCAGGAAGCCTAACCAGTAGGGTTCATATAATGAATGCTTCAACATTGCTGTGAGCAAATAAATCTAGTGCCTGGCGTGGCGTAGCATTGCTTTCATTCTGATAAGGCTAAACACTTTGGCTCACTTTTGACACTCATATTAAAATATTGTTGACAAGGAAAGGTCTGATAAAATATGTATCTCTAGTGCTTCAATATATGATTTAAAAATTATATAGATATGTTTTGTTGGAAATTGAAAATGAAGCATATTACAAGATTAAAAAGAGCATTTTCGCACAACTGTATTTATTCTTTTAGCCTGAGAACTTATTTATTATGATTATTCCAGATGTTCTCAAGATCCTATTGTGTAGCTTTCAGCTCTGCTAAATATGGGTGTGCTTTTTGTTGATTAAGCTAAAATACCTCTGCAATGCTACTTTCTGTGTCAGCCGGTCTTGCAGCCTTGATCAAATCCCCAATAATGTGGCTCATGCAACTGAAGGAAAAATGGCTCCAGTCCACTGGAAAGCCTTGCATCGTGGCAAATCCCGGAAGAAACGGCGAAAGAGAAAGTCCTCCCTTGAAACACCAGAAAGAGTGGCCACCCTAATTCGAAAGCCAAGGACTCCAGAGCAGGAGAGCTGTGTACCTATACCTGTGCAGGTAGGACATATTCCACACTGCCTCAAATCATGCTTGAACATAGGATTAACGATGGCCACAATGGAGCATTAACCTCAGCAGTGCCTGTTTTTTTTCTCAGAGCCACATGTGTTTGTCATTGAATTAACAGTGGAACAAATAAGCAACTGCCCAGACATCATATTTCACCTTTATGAAGTCTGTCCTGTACCAAATTGACAGGATGCATTATAAGACAAGGAGACCCTGAACAATAAGAAATTTTTAAAATTACAATGTACAGTAGATGACATGTATGTCAACAGTACAGAAGAGGTCAGAGATCACTAACACAAACGATTGCTGTAGTTTTCCTTAACAATAAGATCCTAGACACCTTTTTGTAATTTATTGTCTTTGAAATGTCTTGGATTTTAACTTCCATAAATCCCAGACATAATTGGAATTGACATCCAGCACACTAGACTGAATAAAACCATTTTGGACCTGTATAATCATTATTTTAAATACATAAATATTTATTTATGATACTTTTATTCCACTCTTTTATTTGAAAACACTCAAATCCTTTCCCTAATTCAACAAGTTGTTAGATATAGAAGCAGACTTTCCCAAATATGCTTGTCCAGAAACACATTCTGTACCCTGTTAGTATGTCTGATAAGCAATGACCTTGCCTCCAAGTTCTGAAGATATTCCTAAACTTGTTCAAAAGGCAGGGCTGTTTGGCTACCACATGGTGAAAGCACCCAGAGAGCCTTAGCAAGTTAGGGCCAAACGAGCAATTCCCCACTGTCCTTCCTTTCTTCAGATTTAGAAGAGTTTCGAAGAACTTTTTGATAGAGATGCTGCATTGAATGAATGCAATGAATGCAGGAAGGGCATCTTACAGAAAAAATGTTCTAGCATTGGACAAAAAGGGCTTAGTTATAAAAACCAACCAGAAATTGTCTGCATAACAGTAATATTCAAAAATAGAGTGGATTACATGTTCATAATTCCAGATAAGTCACTGAATAAGTCAATAGTTATTTATATATAAACACTGACTTATCTATAAATAAGTCAATATTTATTTGGTTATAGATAAAATTCATTTAAAGTCATTGCTCAGAACTAGGAAAAAATTCATGTCCATGGTTTCCTGCTTGTTAGTTATTTTGCTTTTAAGTAATTGGAATCTGGCAACTGCGGATTAAATGTTTCAAACAACTTTTCCAGGGCATCACTGGGGTTTAGAGTGCAGTTGTATTGGTTAACTTTCCTGGGTAGCTAACTAGTTCACTTTTCTTCCAGGAAGATGACTCTCATTTGGGCACCCTCTTCAATATCACTTCATGGCATTCAGAATTGTGTAAGGATTTGAGTTCTGATTTCAGTTCCTTTGAGAAACCCAGCCAAGTTTTATCTGCTAGCAAGTTGCACATGTTAAAGAACCAAGCAAAGCTAGAGTTACACAAGCTGATCAGCCCTGCTCAGTGCTTGAGTCATGTTTGGAAATCCTATACTCAGGACAATTTTGGCTCTCAATCAGAGACTGTGCATCCCTCTCCTTCAAGCAAATTTCCTCCTTATTTGTACGGCTGTGGCTATTTGCTTCCTGCTTTGAATCTTGGCCCTCTGAAGACTTATCTTTTTGATGATCTTTCAAATGTAGATGGTGAATGTCACCTTTCAGACTTGAATCTGGCACATAGCTTTTCCAAATGTAGTCATCAGTCTGCAAAAAACACTTCAGACACTCTTTCAATGGATGAATTTCTGGTGGATGCATTGAAGGGAAATGTTATTCTTGGAGAACCAAGAAACTTAGCTTGTTTAGCCAAGACTTGGAAAGGAGATGGATCAAGTTCAAAAGCGTGCCTTCAGGAGATTAATGAAAATGAAGGAGTGTTACTTACAGAGGTGAGCTTTTGGAAGCTGTTAACAGGGTACCAACTGCATCCTTCTTGGGTAGGTCATGCTGTGTTCTGCAAAGTAGAGTACCACAGGGATCATCACCTGGAGTCATATTCATACACACAGCTTTGTCAAAGGCAAAATATATGATCAAAATTATTACATGACAGAGAACACTTGAATTAAATTATTTGAAGCTGCATGGGGCAGGGGGATTGTATCTTCCTCTATTTCCCTAGGTGGGAAAAATACTAAAAAACTGGTATAGAAAAAGAAGGTAAGGCTGCAGTTTTCCTCTCCAGTGGGCTAGCTTTCTAAAGAAAATGAGCTTTTAATGAACAATGGACACAGATTCAGCTCTCTATTTCTTCTGTCTTGTCCTGGTATAGTCAAGGAGTGACTCTACAATATTAAACTCTTATAGCAAAAGTTCATTTTAGTGAGCTTTAAGTTACTTACAGTGAAAGAATTCATATGGGAAGTAGAAGGGCCCTCCTTTGAAAGAGAAACATATATGCCATCCCATCCTACTTGTTCATGCTTAAATATTACCAGAAGGAACTTGCTGAGTTCACAGTTTATGTTAAACCATAATATGTTTGGTTTTGATTTAGTATGATGTGTGAACAAAGTTGCTGATATTTATAAACTTGTAGTTTATGATTTAGCACATGTAAATCTATCCAATTGTGACTTACTCAACAACCCACAGTGAACACAGCCATTGGTTGATTGATACATCATGCTGTAATGGCTTAATTAGGTTTTGGTCTATTGTGGTATTGAAATGCAAATACTGTATTTTTAAGATGTGAGAACTAAAGCACAATTATTCAACAAACCACGGCTTAATATTTGGCTCTCAATAATAAAGCTGGGAATTTGGGCTAGATAGACCAATTCTAGATTCTGGACAGACAGAAAAAAGTACATCATGGCATAGCATTTGTGATTTTTTTCATGAAATTTATTGCCATTGGAGATGGAGATGATCACTAGTTTCAGTAACATTGGGAAGCATTACATAAGTTCATGACTATAAACTATGAAGCTATGATGTGTGAGTAACGTGGCAGTAAGAATACCCTTGAATCCCAGTTGCTATTCTGCATATGGTGAAGAGGACTGTTGTCTCTATATGTCCTTGTAAATGTGATGCTGCACTTGATGGATTTTTGATGGACTTAAAGAGCATTTCACCTGGTTTGTGGAATTGGGTATATTGTTTGTGCATGTGTGTTTTTTGAAAGCTAGTTATTCATGGAAACGGTTAATCAGAAATGTTCAGAAAATGTTTCCATGTAGGACAAGCATCTGTTAGAAATTATTTTTATTGCGTGAACCTGCTAATAGAAATCATATGTTTCTCACAGAGCCAAAGATGGAAGGGGTACGGAGAGGATTTCTTCCTGTGGAAGATCTGCTCCTCTGTTGCCTTCTAAAACAAATGGGATGGCTCCTGAATTCATGTCACCTTGTCACTCCCTGTTGGGGGATAGCATTTTGTGGTGCACCTATTCTGTCTCTGTATTGCGTTGTTTCCTTGGGTGGTGTAGCTTAATTTGAAGGGAGAAATATCTTTTGCAGTTCTTCTTTTAGAAGCAGGAGAAATCATTAGGTAGTCTTTGAGCTTTCTCAGCGCAGATTCTGGGCATTCAAACATCTTGTATCAGCCTCTCTCAGCCTAGTGTTGAGAGAGGTATTCACAGCTAGCATAGTCAGGGGCTGAGAGTTATGGGAGTTGTAGTTAGAGAAATAGAGAAAGAGAACACATACCAGAGTGGGGAGGGCTATCCTGCCAAAGAATGAAACAAAAGGCATTTTGTTCAAAGCAAATTTCTTGAGGCTCAAGGATAGAGAAGAATCAGTAAACATGTGAGCAGAGGCCAGGATAAAATGGCTTTAAAAAGCAAGCTCTGAAATGTCTTTTCCCTCGTTCTTGACAGTAATTTTGGCACAGTCAATTAATTCATCCCCTTTTCAAGGCCTCTTGAATTCTCTAATTTTTTTCTCTGTTGCTAATCTGCAGAAACTCAAAGCAGTCGATTATGAGTACCGCGAAGAGGTTCACTGGACCAAATGTCAGGGTTTGCTGGGCACGGGCTCTTTCGGAGAAGTGTACAAAATGGAGGACAAGCAGACCGGCTTTCAGTGTGCAGCCAAAAAGGTAGTACAGTATGCAAATCCGTTGCCTCCGGGGGAGGGAAAGCAGCATCAGAAAGAGGAAATGAAAGCTGCTTCCCTTTTCAGTGGAACTGCTGAGGGTTGGAGCAGTCACTGCGCTGATGCTTTGCTCAAACTTGTTTGTCACAGCCTCAAGGTCAAGCCAGAAGGCGTTGCCATGGTGATGCCAAACAGCGGAATCTCCGGCCGGCTGTGGGCGTTGGGTGTAACGGGCTGCGGGGGAAGGATCGTTCTTGTGCAGCGGCCAAAATAGTGGCCTGCGGAGGCGATCTTAGCTGCTTTCTCCCTTGACAGCACGGGCGGCAGAAATCATTTGTACAATTTGTAACAGGGTCAAACACTAATAATAATAATTGAAATTTCTTTAATCTAACAATTGAATCCTGGCCTGCCTTCCTGCCTGCCTGCCTTCCTGCCTGCCTTCTTGTGCAGTCCTTTTAGATAAAGCTGTAGCTTTAAGCTACTAGTTAGAGTTGATTTGTAGGTGTCCAACCCTTTTTGTGACACATGTTGTGTTTGGGTGGCATCTCCTTCAGCAGCTGTCTAGATTTCCTCCTTGTTGGGCATCGTGCGCCTTCAGGCTGTTATGATTAATGCTGGCATTAGGTTCAAGAGAATAGGAGGGAGCTAAATTAACAAGTTGGGATGCTCAGATGACCAAACTTTTCTCTGATGTGTCTGTGCAGAAACCCTGAAGCTGTTATTTCATCGTTCCTTTTTCTCCTCCATGCTCTGATTTCCCATTCTTTGTTTCGTGCTCTGATCCAACTATTATCAGCAGCTAGCATGCTAATGACTAATATTTTCCTTCTCTTCAGCAATTATCCTCTTTTACTGACTTTTAGTTTCACCAGACTATATATCATCGGCTTTCTTTTTAACTTTTTTCTTGTCTGTAACTATGGGCAGTCTGCATTTTAATGTCTGGGTTGAAAAAAACAAGCTGGAAAGCTAATGTTTAGCTTCATTCATACAAAAAAATGACTAGAATTTGTTTAGCCTAATTTTGAACACACTAAATTAATAGATCATGCTTTACTGTTTGACACCAATAGACTGAAGGCACAATTGAAGTTAGCTTTCAAATCCCAGCTTGTTTCAACAAGAATGTATTACTATATCAAACCTGCAATATTGGCTTATTCTTACTTGTTTATGACTTATCCTACCTGTTCAGCAGTCCACAGAGGTGTGAGGCCAAAGCAATGAAAAAGAAACAACTTTTAGTCTAAGCTGCTCTTGTTTGCTTCCCCTCCCAAACACCTTGTCCCTTCTTATCTTTTTGGCAACAGTCATATTTTTATGCCAATTTCTTTATCAAGACCTCCGCTTGTGCCAGAATATCTGTGTTTGTTGTTGCTGCTGCTTTCTCTACCTTGCATGTTGAAAGTGCAGTTTCAGTGGCACCAATCCAATATATCTTGCTGCCTCAGCTGAAGGGTAAGATTGCCCCCTTTCATGGGTACACGTTGGTCAGATTAACTTCAATACTGGCAGCGGCACAGCATTCTCTACTACAAATCAGGACAATAAACTAGCTTGGGACAAACAGAGCACACTGTATGAAACTGACAACTATCCTCCATCATTTCACTGCTGTAGTTGATTTGCTGTTTCTCGTTGCTGCTTATTGCCTCTTCAACAAAGGTGCAATGGAGTTAGCAAGTATTATATGAGCTGAGCAATATACGCACTAAACGTGATGAAGTATGTGGCCCGGGCTGGCTGCCTCTTTGTCTTCTCATTCAGGCTGGGGCTTTTCTCAACAGCCCTGTCAAGCACTGGGAGAAAGCAGGTGGGTAGAGCAGCTAGGCAGCCCAGCTAGCGACAAGTACTGTCAGTGCCACTAGTCAGGAGGATGGGAATGCCCAGAGGGAAATGGATGGCATTGCAGCAGTCACTCCCGAGTACAGTACTTTTCTCTGCCACGAGTAGAAGGGGAAAAAAATCAACACAGAGTTAGTCTAGGAAGAGAAGTAAGCTTGTTTAGTTTGTGTTAACAGCTGCGGAAGATCACAGAGGAGGTTCTTGTTTCTTGTTTGTGCAAACAATTTGGGGAAAGTTATCTGATGACACAGGGAATCTGCACCAGCTCTTTACTGCTGCTAAAGTATTTGAGATACCATTCAGATTCTGGAAGAAGAGATGGAGGGAAATTAAGTGAGACATTGGATGGACAAACCACGATTTCTTTCCCACAGTAAACAATGGCAAAAACAAATTTGGCTTAGCGATACGTATGAACCAAGCTCCTGTCTCAATGATGAACTTTCTCCACTGAGTTTTGTAGATACTTGTGGCTCAGAAAGCTCAATCCGTTTGTGAAATTCAGTGCATCTCCTCCCAATTTCTTCTTCAAACTCCAGTTTTCCAAAGTCTTTTTCTATCAATAGATCACAGTTCTTCTTTTTCTCAGTTATTTTAAGATTATCGTGAACCTGAATGTCTTCTTCGCTCACTGCTTACTCTTCCTGTTTTTTAATCCATTGTTAATTTGGTTTTGCTTCCTTTTCTGCCAGCTACTCTTTTAGCTATCCTATTTCTTTGTTACCACCATTTTCTTTACAGCATTTTGTTAGGACTTCCATTTCATTTTTTTCTGCCTCTCATCTGTTTTTCACTTAAGCAGCTGAAAATCATGATCCTATGTAATCAAGATACCTGCCAGATAGGTGTAGGTTCCAAGTGGTCTAGTTGCCTCTCAATCTCCTTACAGATAAGGAATCCAAGCACCCCGACTTGCTCATTTTTTGCCTCCTTAGATGTGTACAGAACTTCCCCTGCCTTGAGTTTCTTTCCTCATTCAAACTCACTTTTAATTCATTTGAGGAAACAAGGTACTGGACTAGCTGGTTTTGGTTCATTATAATTGTATGTGGAAGCCATTATCTTTCTATTTAAAGCCAATATTGCTTGAACCTTTTACTTCATGCTTCTCTTTCTAGGTGCAAGTCGAACACTTCCGTGCAGAAGAGCTGACAACATGTGCTGGAGTGACACATGCTAAAGTCCTCCCGCTATATGGAGCAGTGAAAGAAGGCCTGTGGGTTACTATCTTTATGAAGCTGATGGAAGGTAGGTGATCAAGAAAAGAAAAAAAAATTAGTAGCAGTATTATTCATTAAAAAAAAAAAACCAGCAATTGCAGACTATTGCATAGGCAAAATAACAAAACCTGATCTGGAAATAAATTGGGTGACTAGATGTGAAGCAGGATTTTGATTTAGCAAATTTGAGTTCTTCTGAGGTTTCTGGGTAGGGGCCTTAAGTAACCATTAAATATTGCCTGATGTGGTCAGTCTGTGTTGGGGTCCTGAAGCTTGATAGAAGAGAGGGGAATACTTTTCTTCAAACCTTATTTCTACCCTATTTCTGACCCCCTTCCCATCCATCACTGAGACTCAGGCAGAACAAGAATTAGAGCCAGGCCTGCTTATTCAATCTTAGTCTTGTTCCCTTTTTTCTTTTTTTAATTTTACTTGGGACTTACGTCTTCATCACATTAAAATATAATGAAATTTTAACACCTTGGTTTTAATGATATGGATGCTATAAAAATTTTAACAGAGGAACAGAATCTGTTTCCTGACCTTAAACATTGTCTGCCTTTTGCTAGCTGCCGGGTTTATGCTTTCTCTTCCAAATTTATGATCAGCATTTTCAATTTTTAGTAGAGGATAACTGAATATTTACTTCTAGTTTCTGTAAAGCAATCCTCCTTGCTTCCCCATAGTCATCTAATTAGCCATTGTAGAAATATGTGCTAGATTACATAGGAAGGAGCTCTAAAGGATCAGGCCAAGGCCTTGTAACAACTAGAATATTTTCCTTTAGAGGGATAAGGTCTTGCCCCAGGGAACTGTGGGGCTGTGCTCCAATACACTGTGCCAAAAAAAAAAAAAAGACAGCCCACCAATCCCACTCTCTGCTTTCAGCTCAGGAGAAAGGAAGGCATAGTGGTGCTCAGAGGGATACAGTGCTAGATAGAAACTATCCTGCCCTGCTGAGCTTGGGGAAAGGTCCTACTGTCCCTTTTTATTCTTTTTAACCATTCCCCTTTGTAGCCACTACTGTTGCCTCCTTTCCCTTTTAATTATTTCCTTTGCCACTTCCAGGGAACCATTTCATCTTCCCACCCCATCAGCTAGTGCAACTTTTCATTATGCAGTACATGCCCAAGTAGCTTTGAGTGGGTGTCAAGAATCTGCTTACAAAGTGCTAGGAAGGGAAAAATAGATGATGGAATTTGTTATACTCATAAGGAGGTAAGGTATTTATCCATGGCCTACAGAGCCTTGCTAAATTGTAGATGTCTTCTCTTTATATTGTTGTCCTTTAAATATGGGATCCATGATGGAAATGTCTTGACTGTGATGTAGCTTGATACTTTTTCTATAGATTCAAGAAGCTAATTAACTTTTTGGTGATTGGGTAATAACAACAATAATGACAATAACAGTAATAACTTACTGTGAAAGATGGGAATTTTTCCTTGTAGGTGGATCACTGGGCCAGCTACTTAAGCAGTGTGGATACCTACCTGAGGACAGAGCTCTTGATTATCTCAGCCAAACGCTGGAGGCCTTGGAATACCTTCATGCCCACAATGTTCTGCATGGAGACGTAAAAGGTACCTGCATCATTAAACAACCAAGGTAGCAGAGAATTTGCTCAAAGTGGCATTGGTTGCTGCAGTTCCAGAAAATATGAGACGATATGCGGGGGGGGGATGTATACTTCGACATTGTTCTCATTGAATTAGTCAACTTGTCTTTCCCTTGAGATTTTCAATAGAAGATCATGTGAACTGAATGTTCTGGCAGTCCCCTCCTTCTGAATCTTTCACATAGAAAACCAAATATGAGGGTGAGGGAATACTCTAGGCTTCTCCCTGAGATGCTCATTTCTCTTGCAGTAGAATTTCTATGGAGGAACATTTAGTCATGTAAATCTGCACTTCTGGTGCCAAGTAATAAAGTTCAAATGTCAGATGAGCACCTAAGGAGAAGAACGAGGTGGTCTTGTTACAATATTATATGTGGAAACGGATGGCCTGAAAACCATGCAATCTTTCTTTTGGCAGCTGACAATGTCCTTTTATCTGGTGATAGAAGCCATGCTGTTCTCTGTGATTTTGGTCATGCAGCTCAACTTCATCCAGATGGCATAAGGAACTGTTTAACGACAGGTAAACTATGGCAGGTTCTGAAGAGGCTATTGATGTACGACTGCTGCTATTGATGTATTGGACTGCTCTTTTCTTCATGTTTTAAATATTGAAAGCCAGCCCTGAAAATAAATAACTTAGTGGTGTCTGTCTGACTATTCTCCAGCATCATGCATCTCTATCCCTGCCTCAATATTTTAGGCATAATTTTTAAGGCACTACATTATCTATTTTTTAAAAAGTTATAACATATACAGATTATCTTCTGACCATAATCTGTACCTCACAACTTTATAAATGATGCAAATTGAGCTACTGTGGGTACTTCAGTCAAAGGAATATTGCCTCCTCCGACAAAAGAAGAATGGAGGGAAAATATATATATACAAATTCTGTAAAAAAATCCTATGCAATATAAACTTTCCTAATTTCAACTTGCATATACCAGTCTTATTCTTTTCAGCATACAAATCACTTCTGCACACAGGAATGTGTGCATACAGATTCCTCTCTAGCAAAAAGTCTTACATTTAACTAAGTAAATAGCAATTCATTGGCTGGCTACAGATCTTTTAATCTCCAGTGTACCTGAGTACTTGTAATACTCTGATGTTTCTGGCAGCGAGAACAATTTCTCTGATTTCTGACATTTCAGTAGATATACAGTATAAATGTCTTTATCCTTGTAGCCGTAAAGAGCAGAATATTAGTGTGCAGTATTCATATACTGTAGTATTTTTAACATAGGTGAAGCGTATTCTATGCCTGTCGGGCGTTCTTTATTTTAATCGCTATGCTTTACTTACTCTATACTTGGGAAACCTGATTCTGCATCTGCAGTGCCGTTCCATTTGTGGAATAGCATCATACATCGAGCTGTAAACATTATGAACTCAGTTTCCAATGGCATGGACTGCAAAGGCTTGCTCTTAAAAGGTGATGATGACGATGGTTCAAGTAGAAGCAAGATATTCGCTCTCTAGGAAAGCCAATGTGTGCCTGGTGTTTGACATAGCACTAGTCATTACTTCAGCAACTGAGTAGCTGAAATGTTGTTATAAGAGCAAAGAACGTCCAATCCCTTTTTTATTTTTAGAAAGGGCAGATTCATAAACCACAAGCTTTGGAATACAGTGCAATGTCCTGCTAAGTTTTTGTCCCCAGGCTAAGTGAATACTTAGTCTCTAGTTTATAATAAGCATAAACTAATTCCTTACTACCGTCCCTTAATATATTTATTATGGTCTCTGTCCATAATAAATAAAAATGAAAATATTCCAAGTGTAATAATCAAAGTGTGTAGTCTTGGCTAAATAGGCTTATGCCCTTCAAAGAAGCTTGCAGAATCCCAAAATTCTGCCCAGTTGGGACTGAATGCTTTTCTTCAGACTTGGAACTTTAGTTGTTTCATAATATTAAGCTTAGCAGTGAAGAAATAATAGACTTGATTCAGAGGGAGATGAGCAAGAGGTTGGAGAAGTTAAACTTGTTCTTTTTTCAGTAAGCACTGATACCACTGTTTCGTCCATTGCTATTAATAGCAGAAGAAAGGCAAACTGTTTTTCAATACCCAGATAATGACTGAGTTGTAGAGAAAAGAAGGTGAGATTCCCACAGGGTTAGTAGACTGCAGGGAGAGAGATTGTAGAAGGAATTCAGTGCAACTGAGACATGAATAAATCAAATTATGCTTTTCTTTAGTAGATGAATTGCAAAACCTATTAACAATTTGATATTTGACAGTACCGTGCTGAGAGATTTTAAAAATCCCACTATACAAGGCTAATGGAGAGTATTTTTTTTGTTTTAAAAACAAAAATAAACTCAGTTGTTAAAGTGATTGTGTTTTTCTGGTCAAGGGAGTAGGAAACTATTCCTCTATAAGATAATGTATGAAGTTGATACAGTATATCCTTAAAACCAATATCTCTCCTGTACTTGTCCCCATTTATATTTCAGTCTTCCTTGACCTTGTTTGAAGCAGTTATACATTGCAACTATCTTGCAAGATAGTTTTAGAGATTACAGTGTAATTTTCCCAAAAGGAGTTTGTAACAGGTTTTGAATTTGAAACTGTTCAAGTTACAAATGCTCTATTTCAAGTTTGGAACAGGTTGTTCCAACATTTCCAGAAGTGTTTTGAGCATGAAGTGGCTGCTTGTTTGAATTTAAAATACCCACTTCAAACCTGAAACTTTGTGAATTCAAAACATTTTGCGTACCCCTATTTCCCAAGCAGTACTTCTCTCCAGGGAGTTTCATACCAGAACATGAATCTGAACTCAAGTTTCCAGTATCCTTGCCTTGCCTCTCAATTGTTAGTACTCCAGCACTAATTTGGTTCAATCTTTCTGTGCTGTGTCTGGTCTTCTACAGTGAAGGGGCTCTTGGACCAGCCTTGATTATCTTAAGAATGTCTCATCACGGCTGCTTCTGTGGAACAGGTCCCAGCAGGACCTTAAAGAGCCAATTTCCTCTATTCCACTTCCAGGGGATTATGTTCCTGGCACTGAGACCCACCTGGCTCCTGAAATAGTAATGGGGAAGCACTGTGATTTCAAGGTAGACGTCTGGAGCAGTTGCTGTATGATGCTGCATCTACTGAATGGTTATCACCCTTGGACCCAGTACTATAATCATCCTCTGTGCCTCAAAGTAAGTCACCCATTAGTAAATGGATAGCTTGCTGGTTCAGTTACCTGAAAGACAAGACAAATAATTGTGGCATGAAGCATTTAGTATTCTCAACCAATCCATGAAATGTATCTTTTGTTAGTAGATATATAATGTTATATATTGTCGGGTATCTTGAAATCCACAACATTTACCATTCAACACAATTCACTTATTTTAGATTAACTGTTGGCCTAAGGAGCTTACAGCTTCCATTCCAGGAGCTACTTCAGAATCCCAGACCTCTAGAACTTGAGGCTTACCTTAAAATATACAATTCTGCCCAGTTGTTTCATAACAAAAGGCATTTGCTCACACCTTTGAGTATGTTTGGCCAAAAAATATCAGCAGTATTTGTTAAATGGTAAGCAGTGCTCATCACAGTATTAAGTTCAAAATGAACAACCATCTATAAAAATGGCTTTCTGATTCATTCTGAACCCATTTTTTTCTGTAATTCTGGAGGATTGATATTCCAGAAGTATACACTGATAGAAAGCAATGGAGAAATGTACAATTTTAATGTGGTTCTGATTGTCCCAAACAAATATCTTCAATAGTTTGTAAATACTTTAAAATTGTTCCACCTGTGAATCTATTATGTTTGAGAGTAGGTGGTTGGGACACTGCAGATGACCGTGGGTTGTACCACCATGCCGAATGACCCACTATCATGTGTTTATTTATATATTTAATTTATATGCCGCCCTTCTCCCCCAGAGGGTGACTCTGGGCGGCTCACAATTAAAATATGTCACATATCACAATCACGCTATGTTAGTTACTTTTGCAGCATAGCAGTTTAGGGTCGCTAACTGTTTTGCTGATGTATTGGGCTTTCTGACTTGTTTATTGTGCTTTATATATGGTCCATTTTTCTCCTCAATAATTACATGTGAATAGAAGCAACTCTTGGAAAGAAAGGAATCAATATGAGTGAAAATGGCTGCAGATAGCACTGAATATTAGGCTGTGGACAAGTTGTTGTATGGAGGAGAGTCTGCTTGGCCTAGTGGATTTTAATGCTTCCCGTGACTCTTAAATAGGGCTTCTTTCTATTCCTGTCTAGTTACCTCTTCCCTTCTCCTCATCTCCATCCACTTTTGTTGCCTCTTCTCTTTCCTCTATTTTCCTTTCATTCCTGCCTAGTTATCCTTTCCTCTTACCCTATCTCCACCATTCTTTTGCTTTGCTGTTTTTGAACGAAAAAGAGAGGGGAAAGTATACAGTATATATGTTTCATTATACGTTTCTGTGATGAGAGTAGCTTGTGAGAGAGAATGATCGATATATGCAAATGGGGTGCCTTATTCTGGGGGGATCATTTTAAATTCAGGATCATTTTTCTCTTGAATAAATAAGCTGTTTGTTAGAAAATGAGTTGAGTGTGTGCCAACTTAGGTCTACACAGAACCTACAAGAAAGGATGGGAGGTGGCATTTAAACTGCAATTTGGTTCTCATTTACCTGAAGTTGAGTTTTAATGAACACAATTAGACTTTTTGTAAATATGTTTGCATATGATTATAAGGTAAGGCACAAACTGAAGTAAGCTTATTAAATTCAGGAACATGACGCACTGTTCAACACACATAGCAATGATCATCTAGGGCTGTGATGAGGCAAATGCGAAGCAAGAGGGTTTTCTCTGAATCTTTAAGATAGAATCTGAAATCAGCTTCAGGAATTAGCTCCTGCACAAAGATCTCTGTCTCAGAAATTTTGAAGTGGATGCTAGATTCATGTCTCTACTGTTTATATAAATTTTGGTGTATAAAATACTATTTAGGTCACAGTTGGCTATTCTAAATGCAAAAGAAGATTATTTTAAACAGTTGATAATACAGTGTAAAACATTTATGTTTTCCCAAGAATATAATTATTCTGTCTTTTCTCTGAGGGCTAAAAGGCTTCTCATTTTTGTTCTCATGGTTCAACCTGTTGAAATAAAGTAGGCTGAGAGTTAAGAGTTGGCCAGAGGTTGGCCAGTAAGGAAGGGAAACATCTGTCCACCTCAGGCATTAAATTATTTTTGGCAGCCCTGCCCCTATTTGCAAGTCTGTCTCAATATTTTGTCCTTTTTGAGTATTGCATTTAAGGCAATATGTCAGTCTAGACTGTGAGTTTGGGAGAGTTTCTGTGCACACTAATGTTTTTTGTACCAGAGCGTTGAGAGCTTTTGCCTGCCCTGTAGTTTTCTGTCATAAAGCATTATCTGTGTTTTCTTTTCAAAAAAGGGAGAAATCCATTTCTGTTTTGTATATGTACAGTAGTAATTGTCATTGTCTATTAAATAGATGGCCCTGCTATTTGTAGGCTTGTAGTTTTCTGAATGCTTTTGATCAGTGTCCTCCTTCCTGTGTTTCTGCATTGCAGATAGCCAAAGAACCACCCCCCCTGAGAGAAATCCCCCCCTCCTGTCACCCATCCACTGTTCAGGTCATTACATCTGGGCTTGAGAAAGAGCCTACGAAACGGGCCTCTGCAGCAGAGCTAAGGATGAAAACCTGCAAAGCACTTAAGCAAGGTGAGACTGTCTGGTCCGTCTGAACAAGCATCTGGCTGTTTCTTTCTTTCTTTCTTGCATTGTCCCCAGAGTCTCCTGACAAAGCCTTGCTCTTTGGTTTGTTCCCAACATTTTTCTTTATGTCGCCTCCATCAATCGCTTGTACATTTGGTTTTAAAAGAGAAAAGATGGAAGTCAGTTTTTGGTTAGTAACTTCTGTGCTGTAAATTGGAGGAAAGTGAAGATGTACAATATGTTCCAGAGCAAGCAGTATCTGTAGGTGAACTTGGCTACCTTTGCTGGTCACATACAGTTATGCTATTTTGTTGTCCAGGGAATGTTTCTGGTAACTTCATGGTTTAGGCAGCACAAAATATATACCTGCAAAAGGTATATATTTTAAAATCTTTTTTTGTCCAGAATCTGAAGGTTGGTAGGAGGTTATATAAAGCAGGGGTAATAATGGAGGTTATATAAGACTGGGTAGAGAAGATGTTTGTAATTCAGTGTATTTGGTAAACAGTAGACCAGTGTTTCTCAACCTTGGCAGCTTTCAGATGTGTGGACTTCAACTCCCAGAATT